GCGATTTATATGGTATTCCCACTTCAGATTTTCCGCAATTTCAATGCCCAGGTCTTTTTGATGTTGCACACTTGAGACTTCTGTCTGCTCCAGAGAGTATCGTTGATGTGGGTTATTAGGGACAATGTGGAGAATGGTGCATTTTGAGTTGTTTAGTGGCATTTTCCAGATATTCGTCCACGATAACTATACGTCTAACAGATATTCGTCCACGATAATTACACACAAAAATTTTACGATATACGAGTAATTCATATACGAGTTAGGCTAAGAACATAGTGGAGCGACCAGGATAGCGGCGAGCAAGCAGCGCGATACAGCGTCGAGCAAGCCTCGAGATGCAGAAACATAGTAGAGCGGCGAGGAATAGCGAGGTACTTGCAAATTTATTATTTTCATTTGCTTATTGATAATTTAAAATGTTAACAGTGGTTAAAATTTTGGGCAGTAGTGACGTAAACATGTGTTTGATTTGAAACCAACAACAACGAAGGTGTACTGTACATTAAATTTTCAAAAACCGGAGAGAGTGTGGCAAGTTTTATAACATTTACGAAATATATGCACTTATTTAAGACACCCTGTATAAATGAATAAAGTGATTTTAGATTAATATATATTTTATTATTTATATTTTTGTTTCAGCAGCCAAAATGCACAGATATAATAAATTACACACGTATTAATTACACGATTTTACCTCGACTAAAACGAACTTAAATGTCTATCAAAACTTACTGTATTACATTCTTCTTCTAACTGTTAACTGTTCACTCATAACTATCAACTATTCAATTGTGTATTACTTTGAAAATCGATTTAAAAATATCTCTACCTAACAATTTAAAGCGAAAACCCAGAATAGACGTACTACAAAGCTAGATAAAACTTTAAATTACTAATATACAAGACTCAAAAATAAACAGAACAATTTAGAGATCAAAAAATAAACCCAACCCAAAATAAACAAAATTTAGATATCTAATAGTCTCGTATAATGACTTTTTGGACAAGATATCAAAAAAAGATTAAGAAACAATGCAGCTGATAAACAAGGGTAATGGTTATGTTTACTTGGACTGTTTGGCGCTGACCATTAAATATTGGTAATACCATAATATACAGGGTGGTCCGAACTGTATTTCAGAAACTTCGGCAGCATATTCTGCAGAAAAAAAATGTAAAAAAGTTCGTATAAATGCATGCCCTAAATTGCTTATACCCCTTTCAGATGAAGCGGACCGTCCGCGTGGATGTTTTTTCAAGATAGCCGTCGACGAACTCATCCGGACAGAGCGAACAGAGCGAATCATCCGGACAGAGCCGTCGACGAACTCATCCGGACGGTTCTTCCACGAAGTCGCGGACGCTCCGCTCCATCTGAAAGTGCTGTTAGTTTCGGAGATACAGGGTGTAGAAATTTCATTTCTATTTCGATTTTTTTCCAAGTAAGTTCTGAAGTAACGTCAATATTTGGATGAAAATTGTTGTATGGCCGTTTTTTGACATGAGAAATTTGATCTAGATGTCAATATGACTACTACTTGTAGAGGGCGCCAGCTACAAATTTTTAACCGGTTTGAAGAGTAATCTCGGATTAGGTAAAAATTAGATTTCGTCAGTACTTGTATAAAACTACTGAGTAAAAATATACATTTACGACGTTTTTTTACGTAAAAAGTAATGGGTCTCGAGAAGAAGAAGAAATTTAGCTTTCAAGCCGCATCAGCATCAAAGGCTATTTAGCGGCGTATGGTTCTCGAGATATTTGGAACCGAAATAATTATCAATACCTGTCGTCATTGACATAACATTGACATACATAAATTAAACATGTTGATTAAATAGTTATTAGACTGAAATCATAAATTTGAAATGTTTTGTGCCAAAAGTTCAACAGAAACTGTTTTATCATCATTTATTTGAAGAAAAATTGATGAATAATTTAAAAAAATAAAAAGTTCCCAAATTTATCATTTTAGTCAAATAACTCTAAATCTACTCAAACTGTTTATTTTTTTGTCAATAATGACATGTATTGACATTTCCATTCTAAATATCTTGAGAACGGTTGCTCTTAGCGATTTTTATCAAGATACATTTTCTACGTAAAAAATAACGGTAATGTATTTTTTTTCGCTCGGTAGTTTTATACAGATACGGACGAAAATTTATTACTCTTCGAAACAGTTAAAACATATGTAGGTGGCTCTCACTACAAATAGGAGTCATGTTATTAATATCAAAATCAAATTTCTCATGTCAAAAACATTCCTAGACACCAATTTTTATCTAAATATTGATGTTACTTCAGAAATTATTTGGAAAAAATCGAAATAAAAATGAAACTTCTACATCCTGTATCTACAAAACTAGGCATTTTAGGACATAAATATGTACATTTACACGAACTTTTTTTGCTTATTTTTACCTGCAGAATATGCTGCCAAAGTTTCCGGAATACAGTTCGGACCACCCTGTATATAGATATTATTTTTTGATTTCGTGTGTTTTTGCGTTCGTATAAATATTATTAAACCTAACTACAAGGCGTATCATAAGAGCAAAATATATGTGGACACAAGATTATTTGGTTTGGTTAGTTTTTTTATTATTTTTATTATTCTAATTACTGTCATACAATATGCAATTCAATAGGAACTCTTCAGTGTACCGAGTGTTTTTTAAAGTGGCCCATCTCTATAACTTTTTATTTTTTCAGAGAAACAAGATTTGGTATATCAGTACATGACATAAATCAGGATTGATTGACGTATTAATTATTTCCGGTCACTTTCTGTTGCACATGTTTTTGTTTAGTCATGTATATTCTTCTGATATTAGCAGAAAATTCTTCAGATACCAGCAGGATAATATTACAAAAAAATATTGATAAGAATGACATTATAGAATGCATATGATGGATAGTTGTAAGGATGTATTTGTGTCAAAGAATATTCTATGATTAAAGCCTGGTTGACATAGACAAACTGTACTTGGACCAAATACACTTGCGCGCGTCTCATTTGACGTCACTTGGATTCATGGGGATGACAGTGAACGGGAAAATTGGAAACAATCTTTGCCAGGCAGAGGGTATGGCCTCCTAGACAAGGATATGTTTGTTTCTGTTAAATTTAGATTTTTTTTGTAACATTTTTATGCACATCTAGCGTCCTTTTCATATGCCTGTGTGTCAGCTCTAGCAAGTTTATGCTTGGATCATATTAACAGATTTTAAATCAAGCTTAAGCCTAGTTGACGCAGTCAAAGTGTGCTTGGATCAAATACATTTGAACGCTGCGCGCGTCTCAATTGGACGCGTGCCGCTTGGATCATATTAACCCATTTTAAATCAGTTGGAAAGTCCAAGCATATTTGATCCAAGTACACTTTTTTACACTTTGTACAAATTTATTTTAAGAATTCAAAGGGGATCATAATTAAGACCCAAAATTATATAACAACTTAAAATCAGAAAAATGTAATTATATACCGGGTGCGTCTCAAAAGTGGCTCACCCCTCTAAATTTTTTATTTTTTTCGTTAAAAAAAACGAGATTTGTATGTTAGTATATGACATAAATTAGGATTGATTGACGTATTCAATTGTTTTCCGTCACTCACCACTTTCACCGGAAATGGCTACAACTTTTGATTCCTAAAAGGCACCCCCGGTATTTTTTTACTTTATTCGATAGAAAATGTCACTCTGAATAGAGTGACATATCATATGTCAACTTTTGACATTTTCGCATAAAGTTTATTTGAAATTTTAACTTGCGATTTGTAACGAAAATTTGACTTGAAATACCAAGTGTGTAGTATCAACTTATTCGTAAAAAAATACTTTTTCCAAATATTCTAATGAGCCACCCTCGTTACATTTGAAAAAATTGAGATACGATTAAAAATACGATTTGAGCATTTTCTAACTGGCCAGGACAAGACACTAAAAACATTAAACAATCAAATCTATTTTTTCAAGGCTCCTTGATGTAGAATTTTTAGTGTTTTTAACATACACATGGCACTCTAGATTGAATTTTAAAAAAACAATTTTTTATTAAGCAGAATGTCAAAAGTTGACATATGATATGTTATTCTACATACGATATGTTATTCTATTTAGAATGTCATTTTATTTCGAATAAAGTAAAAAAATACCGAGTGTGCCATTTAAAAATCAAAAGTTGTAGTCATTTCCGGTGATACAGGAAGTGACCAAAAACAATTGAATACACCAATCAATCCTAATTTATGTCATATACATACCAAATCTCGTTTTTTTATCTGAAAAAATAAAAAAGTTATAGGGGTGAGCCACTTTTGAAACGCACCCGGTATAACTACATATGATCAACAAAATGTAAAATTTAATGCTGCAAAAAATGTAAAATTCTTTTCCCTTAGCAATTAGAAGCTTGCCAAGAAACAAACTGAATAGAATCTGTTTTAAGGGGGTATTTAGTGAATATAAATACCTAATTCAAGGTGATCTCACATTGAAGTGGATTTTAATTTGAATATTACAAAAAAATGTTTGTATTTTGTATATTTCTATTAAGCTGGGCTCAAACAACTTGTGTACTTGGCAAACATTTTTTATTGGCATACACTTGACATGTTGTGTGAGTGGTTTACTTGTGCAATAATTATTTTTCTCGTCGCGCCAAGCTTGCCTTTGTTGTTTACAAAGATGGTATATTTGCCAAGGACACAAATATTGGTGTACTTCAGTACTTGCCAAGTACACAAGTTGTTTGAGGCCGGCTTTAGATAGAGCTAGATCTAGGATATATATTATTAATTGTTTCTATTAATTTCTAGCATATTATATTTTTTTGATCTTAAGAGGTTCCACATTCATATGAACATTATTATTAGTTTAATATTGGAACGAATAAACTATCAACCCACTATTATCTACCGATCTACAACAATTATGTATAAACATTTAAATAAAACTACTAAAACACTCAGATGCAAATTACACTTACCTTAATAACAACATTCGAACTAATATTGTAGTTAAAATCAGGATTATAAGGGGATTCACAAGCTTCACATATTAATGTATTTTCATTATTCAACAAGGTACATCGTTTGCACGTCCAGGTATTTAGAGCAGTGTCATGTTTCTTTTCGGATTGACCATAATCTTTGGAAATTGACTCTTCATTTATACCACTTGCGGTGGTTCGAATATTATTACTTAACTGCATATCTTCCATTGTTTTATCACAGTAATTTTTCTGAGCTACTGAGCAATTCACACTTTTAATATTAGTGAGTGATAATAAATTAGATTTATTATCTTGACAAGTACACCATTCGTAGTTTAAGATGCCATACTTTTTTATATCAAAATATCCAAGTAAACAAGTCTTGCAAAAACTTTCGCTAATGTTCATTATACACCTTTTGCCATTACAGAAAACGCATACATATAGTTCTAATAAGAAATACAGATCTTCAAATTTTGTTAAGATATAATAAAAAGTCAGAATTAAAGCTGTTCTCGTAAAATTAAGTAGGTATATTATATCTGGAAATTAATTGATAGTTAGAACGCTATCTCCTTGTTCTTAAAATTCGTCTTATATTGCTGCTGAAAGATATAAACTGAATAAATTCTTCAAATAAATGGCAGTAATATCATTAGTATTCTTACCTATGAAAATATGTTATACAATTTTGTTTCACTGTAGGGCGATTGATATATTTAGTTTTTTCAGCACAACAGAGTATAACAAGTCTTTGTTCAAGGAAACTGTCTTCCCTTATACACTTCCAAAGCATTTAATGTCTTTCGATTTTATTATTTAAATTCCATAAACTACTAAGCAATTGCGCTAACGGTGCAAACGCACCAATAATATTATAAACATGTCTATCTACAACAGCAGAAACAACAATTTTCAACGAGAAACCCTCTTTACTCTTTGTGAGATTCCTGTCTCCTGTCAAAATATTGTCAATACCACAATCAGCAATCAGCTGACAGACATCAACATTTCCCAAACATAGTAGAGATGGGCATTTCTCATTTACGCTTGTATAACCCAATTTTCCTTTTATTACATCTCGGTGTAAAATACACGTAAAACATATTGAAATATTTTACAGTTGTACAGACATGGTTACCTCTCCCAGGAAGAAATTTAGGTAATGGTGTGGATCCGGTGGCTGACCTTGAAACGAGTTTTTGCTGCATATAGTCACAGACACTACGCATGCGCACATCTTCGATGTTGCCAGATTGCAAGTTATTTTGGAATTATTTTCAGTAGAAAACAAATATGTGCTTTTCAGTGTTTTTTTGTCAATATATACCGTATAATCGAAAAAACGGCGTCCAGTTGGCTGGGAAATGACGATTGAGGACATTTCCCATATAAAATGACAGAGATCTTCATTTCATAGTCATCGCTGACGATATTTTTTTTCAATCATAGTACGCGGTATATTATTTATATTATTATTTTAATATTTCGCACAACACGTGAACGCTTATTATGTATTTTCATAGTAAATAAAATTAAATAGAAATAAAACTCTAGATTCGTATAATTAATCTAATTGCTCTAGATAATTGTGCTACGTTTAAAAAGGGCTTTATTAAAAATTCGGGAAATTAAAAGGATGTGTCCAAGTTTTTCTTTTTTTTTTTATTTTTAAATGCTGTAGCTCCATGTCATGTTCATAATAGTTTTTTAACATTCTATCAAAACTACGGAGGCCTTAAAAGGCCTTTTAGCCTCCGTAATTAAAATTATACAATCAGCTTCAGCAACATTAACGGTTATCTTGTTTAATTCTCTGCTTATACATATATTGCATTAATTTTTCTGCAACCTTAAGATTTCTCTATTCTTACACCTAATTTACGTGATTTTCTTAGCATATATGATTTATAAACCATATTTTTCCTAATGGAAGGATGGAATAGGATATGCAAAATTCAGATATTTTTACCTTTATTTTCCAGACAAAGCATAATATAGTATTAAGATTAAGACATAACAAATATTATAAAGAAAGATCTTAATATAAATTACAAACTAACTAGGTCTTAGTTTGGTCTTGTATAAAAGCAGGTATATAAAACTAATAAGATCAAAACTCAACCTTCACCATATTGTCAAGATTTGGCATTATAGGAAACAAGAAATTACAGTAAATTAAGAAAAGAATATCAAAGTACACGATATTAAATACTGTAATGTATTCTACGACACAAACCATCTCCCTTCTAAAGAGAAAAAGATAAAACATAAAGCTTATTTTAGTCTTATCACCACACTCTTCGATAAAATATATGTCTAAAATTGCTATTAATCCACTAACTTCATATTTTTAAAAAATTATGATACAAACATTATAATCAATGTAATATAATATATTAGTAATAATTAATATATATTATATTAGTAACATATAGGTAAAATGTTACCTCTCATCGAGAGGTAATCTCCCATTGACGTATATTGTTCTATAAGACTAGTCATGGTAGTACTTCAATACATCAATACATATAATTAAAACTATTGTTGCCTGTAAATAACTAGAAATTAAATAACTTGAAAGAAATAAAATAATTCTAATAAGTTTAAAACCATTAAGAAAAAATCCGTGAATGATAATTTTTAATTCTAATGTAAATATATAAATAAATGTTATTATTATTACAATTTTATATATTCAATTTTATATGTCATTCCTTATTTTTGGATATCAAGATAAATCTGAAATTATAAAATTAATTATAGAATTTGTATTATTATTTAACACTCAAAAAAAAATTTCAACTGCAAATAATTCGAAAATAAACTGCAATTTGGCAACATCGACGATGTGCGCTTGCGTAGTATCGATGATCAAATGCAGCAAATATGGGCTTCAAGGTCAGCCACCGGATCCACACCTTTACCTAATTTTTAGTCACTCTGAGTCTAAAGTCACCAAAAAAAGAAAAGAGAAGGATAATCGGGTTCTTTCACTTTTCACTCAACTGATTTGTCATTCGTTCTTTATATTTTATATTTGAATTGTCATCTCATGATTCTATGGTAAGAGTCAATTTCCATATAAAATACTGCAAAATATACGGAAAATAGTTTTTCTTATTCAATTTATCAAAATAGTAATATGTAGATTTCAATTATAGTGAAGCTTACAAAAAATATATACTTATACATAATATATTTATATTAACAATGACATCAGTGCTAGAGTGATTATTGCAAAGTTTTGTTTATCATATCAGCTGAGTTTTTAAATATCTATTATTCATTAACACAGCTATATTTTAGAGACTGTTTTAATAAAGTTCTAATAAATATATCCAAACTGGATCGACTACCAGATTATCTCCGCGATACCGTGGACTGGTTTATGGGGTAAGCAAAAGATAATGCAAACTATATCTTAGAAATTAGTAAGTTTAATTATGAAAATACTACGTTAATTTTTAATTTCTAGCAAGGCTAGGCGTAAGGAAAAAGAGGGTACAGAATCTTCATCAGGTGATTCAAAATTATACCTAGAAGCAACTGTTTTGGAAAGAAAGTTGCCCGAAATGGACATGAGGATTTTTGTTGATTTGCCAGCTGGTTTAGATTATAATGAATGGCTTGCATCACATTGTATGTATTATTTTATTAAAATATTCCAATATTTATAGCATTTTTTTAGCTATGGCCTTGTTTGACCATGTAAACTTAGTTTACGGAACAGTTAGTGAATTTTGTACAACAGCTACTTGTCCGGATATGACTGGTCCTGGTCAAAGGTATTTGCTTTAAAAACAACTTTACTTTAGAATAAAATAATTATTTTTTAGAACATATTTGTGGTTTGATGAAAAAGGAAAGAAAACAAAAGTTGCTGCTCCTCAGTATATAGATTATGTAATGACATTTATTCAAAAAACTGTTAGTGATGAAAACATATTTCCAACAAAATATGGTAAAAGTAATATTCCCAGTTAAATGCATATTAAAAATATTTTATGGTTTTTAGCAAATGAGTTTCCCTCATCATTTGAATCCATAGTTAGAAAAATTGTACGACTATTATTTCATGTAGTAGCACATTTGTATGCTGCACATTTTAAAGAGGTTGTGATGTTGGGTTTACATGCCCATTTGAACTTAACATTTGCCCATTTGACTGCTCTTTACCATAGATTTTCACTTATAGATCCTAAAGAAACTGAGATTTTAAAAGATTTGGAGGTATGTATCTACATTAGAATTGATTGAAATTAGACTCTGTTAGTATGTGCCAATTATTAAAATTAAAAAAAAAATAATTTTTATATCTACAGATATGTTTTGAAAAATTGTGCACTTAAATTAATAGAATCAATCAAATTTTTTGGCATCTAATATCACAAAATCTGCTGCAGCCCGTATATACAGTGGTGGCCAAAATTATAGCAACTTTTAAAATTCGAATATAAAATTGTCTACAAAGTAATAGCAATTTTCCTATTTACCTAAATAAAAAGTCTAGATGTCTATTTTAAGGACATTAAAAGTTGATTAATCTATTAAAAAAATGTATAATAAAATAATATGTATATTCTTGTGGACAAAATTATAGCAACTTTTACAAATTAATTTGAAAATATTTTCAAATAAATAGAAAACATGAGAATAATTAATATTTCGTATAATATCCTTTCTGTCTGATGACCTCTTCACAGTAGTAAATAAACTCTTCACACCTTCTGGGCATAGATTGCAGCAAATTGGTTATATAATGTTCATCTATTGCTTTCCAGGCATTCTGTAGTGTACAACTTGTCCAGCAAAAAATTTAAAATGTATTTCCATTTGACGATAGTGTGATGATAAAAAATTGTATACATAGTGAACAAATATTTAAGTGAAATACAATAATAATAAATTATAAACTACTCGCCAATTTTAAGTTTTCAATAAAATTTTCAAGAATATTAAAAGTTGGTATAATTTTGGCCACTACTATAGGAGTTACATGCCCTTTCTTTACTCATTGGTTGATACAGTATCCATTTGATAAGGGAGACTGATATAACTATCCGAGATGTTGTAATTGTGTAAATCAGAAAAAAAAACAATGGAAGTTTGGCATTGGCATAGCAAAACAATTTTTTTTTGAAGTTTTTACAAATGAAACATTGCAATCTACTTATGATCCACTCTTTGTATATGCTTGGAAGTTTTCATATCTATTTCCAAAAAAAAATATTTTTTTTATTCATAACAAATTTCTTTAGTAACAAGGAGTTTTGTTTTCGTTAATATCTTTATTATTAATATAAAATTCATTTTTATAGATTGCACTCCGATTAACAGAAAATAGTACAGAAGTAGTAAATAATAATGAACAAAATGAAGTGAAAGATGAAAGTTCAAAATCTCAACCAACTGAAGAATCAAGTAAGTTACTAGGGGATAAAGTGCTAATACCTATTTTGAGAACATTATCACAAATTAAGTTGTTATCCGCATATTTTAGTTACTATTTAAATCTTGTATTGGAACATATTTTGCCAAGATGATTATCTTACTATATTAGATTTTACGTTATGTTAAAACAACTTGTCAGAATATTTGAAAACTGATAATAATGAACCAAAAAAAAAGCTTTTAAAAAAGAAATATACAGGGTGGCGCACCTCATTCGCTTCGGTTGATTATACGAAAACGGAAAGATGTAGAAACAACATATTTTATGGGTATATGTGGGGAGACAATGTGCACAATTTAAAATTATTTTGAAATATACAGGGTGTTTCAGAACTAAGATCCATACCAAAGTTATATTTTTTCTTATGGAACACCCGGTATTTTATTTCATTTTTGGATTTTTGGGCCCAAAAAAAGGCATTTATTATAAGAGTTAAATTTGTTTAAAATCTTTAGTTTTTGAGATATTTAAATTTGTATGCTACAGTAGAATAGACTATTAACACCCTGTACATAACTTTTCAGAATTAATTCTTATGCTGAGTTTAAAGATAGAGAAATAAACTTTACTGAAAAATGGTATTTGTTCCTTAAATTTATACAGGGCTATCAATAGTTGCTGATCTATTTTAAAGATATATTTTATATAAAAACTTCGTTATTTCAAATGCAGCATCCTGTACTTTTTTAAATAAATCGAAGCAGATTCAAATGCTCTTTCAAACTATATTAGGGTTTCCTATACCTGTCTAGCTCAGATTTTGAATAAAAAGCGATTTTTAAATAAAATTGTATTCAAGATGGCTGGTGCCGCCATGGCAATTTTCTAGTGACAGTAACTATTTTCAAAGTCGACATTAGTTTATGGACATTATTATCTATAATTTATAACAGTTTACTTAAATTTACCTACAATAGTTTAATAAGTCAATAGTTTAATATTTTATGAAGAAAAATAAAACAGTATCTGCTGGCGGAACGAATAGATATATTACTAGTGATATTATTTTGTGAGGAAAATTGCTTCTGGCCCTCAAGGGCTTATGCTCAAAGATATCCAAATAGAAATCTTCCTGATAAGCGTTTCTCTGAAAAACTTCTTGTCCTATTTCACAGAGCTGGTAGTGTGGTTTATAAAAAACCTATTAGGCGGAATCCTGTCGTTGGAAGTGAATAAAATGAATTTGCCGTAATTGGCTATTTTATAGAAAATCCATAAATCTACAAGTCATCGTAAAATAATTCAAGGAACTACTTCTTCGTTTTTCTTGATAGAATAATATACACATATTTAATAAATATTATTTATTAAACTATTGTAGGTAAATTAAATAAAAGTAAACTGGTATAAATTTAAATAAGTCCCTAAAGTAATTTCGATTTTGAAAATAGTTACTAACTGTCACTAGAAACTTGCAATGACAACACTAGCCATCTTGATTACAATTTTATTGAAAAATCGCTTTTTATTCAAAATCTGAGCCAGATAGGTATAGGAAACCCTAATATAGTTTGAAGGAGCATTTAAATCTGCTTCGACTTATTTAAAAAATACATAGTGTTGCATTGAAATAACGAAGTTTTTATGTAAAATAAATATTTAAAATAGACCAGCAATTTTTGATACCCCTCTGTATACATTTAAGGAAGGAATAACATTTTTCTGTAAAATTTATTTCTCTACCTTTAAACTCAGCACAAGAACTAATTCTGAAAAGTAATGTACAGGGTGTTAATAATCTATTCTATTGTAGCATGCAAATTTAAATATCTCAAAAACCAAAGATTTTAAACATATTTAACCCTTATAATAAATACCTTTTTTTGGGCCCAAGAATCCAAAAATGAAATAAAATACCAGGTGTTCCATAAGAAAAAATATAACTTTGGTATATCTTAATTCTGAAACACCCTATACATTTCAAAATAATTTTAAATTGTGCACATTACCTACCCACATATACCCATAAAATATTTTGTTTCTACATCTTTCCTTTTTCATATAATCCGCCCAGGCGAATGAGGTGCGCCATTACTTCTAAATAATTCCATAATTCCAGGCTTTTTCTAAAAATAACTTTTTCTGTTGAAGAATATTATTTATATTTATCTGAACGGATAAAAAGGCGTATTTTCATTCGTCCGATATCTGATGATCATTTCCATAATGGTTTCCGTGATTTTTACTTAGCGGTAATATTTTACAACATAAAATTTTACATAAAAGCGATACCAATTAAACTTTTAGTTACGTAATCGGGGGCCCGATTTTTAAATTCATTGTTGCCAACCATAAACATATTCGGCGCCGGTCTGACTAACTGGAATTTAAATTTCCCGCTGGGTATTGAATTGGTAGCTCTGCTGTAAAAAATGTCAAGTTGCTACATTTATTTATTTGTTTCCTGACATTGTCATTCGTTTTGACACTCTAGTTTTGTATTACGAGTTTTTGGTTTAAATAAATTGTGTTGTGATACTTTAAGCTTAAAAAATTTTACTAGCAGACCTTGTAGTCGAACATTGTTCTTTTTAGAACCTCTTTTAGTGTGAAGTTTACAAGATAGCTTAATAGCCGTTGTAAAAAACTCATCGCAACCTTATTAGAATATTTTGAACGAGAAAGCGGTAGTAATCGCCCTTTATCTCCCTTAAATGCTGTTAAGGAGTTGAGTTTTGTTGATGTAAATAATAACTGTTTATATATTTATAATTTATTTATTTTTGTTTGTGAAATATTTTGATTAAAAGAAAATATGTAAAACGCTGTGCCGGTCAAGCTTAATCACACGACTAAAATTTATTTGGTATGATCTATACCGGGTCCCAAGTAGCACACTTATTTTATAATTTTTAACTTTCGGTACTTTTCTGTTTTATAATTACTTTATTACTTCTCTTCAAAAACCATTTTGTTGTATTAAAATTGCAAGTGAAATATTTTAGTTTTTAAAATGATTTTGCTTTATAAGTTAGTCGGAAGAACGTTCTTAAAGCAAAAATACGGAACAGTCTTACGACAAATTTTAATTCTGTTTTATAAACGTTTATACAATGTATTTTATACGACATTTTACCTTACCGAACAAATTTGTTTTACAATAAATTTGTACCGCTGTTACTCGACACTAGGTCATTCGTTTGCGAACATATATAAAATTGTTTTATTAAAGTCATGCGAAATATTTATAAAATTATTTTATAAAAGTTTTCTTTCTGATATTATTGCCGAAAACAGCATATTTTACTCAGACAATACCTTTAAAAAATGGTTATATAATTAATACAAACACTGTCATAATAAAAACCTAATGGAATAATTATAAAACAAAAAAATAATTCTGACAAAAGCATTTGATAATACATTTATAAAACGTATAGACATTTTTGCACGCCATTACTTTCTACTTTGATCTTGTCATAATATACTACAGCTTTATCATGTCAAAAAATCTCAAATTATTCAAAATAATAAAAAACATAAAAGAAGTGGTGCGTTTTACAGAAGGGTAAAAAAGTGTTACCAGAATATCCTAGCTACCGAAGTTCGTGAAACAGTTGCTTTCTCTGTAAAGGAAGAAGACTCAAGTGAACAAAACGTTTTCTCTTCAATTGCTGATGAACGAAGTAGTTCCATTGAAAATGATGCTTTTATTAACGAGGTTCAGAAGAGAGATCTCGAAGAAGAAATAAATAACTGAGAAATAGAGCTAGATGAATTACGTGAGGATGAGGAACATTCTGAGGATATAGTCAATGCAGAAAAGAACACAAAGCTTGTAAACAATATTAGAACGTGGGCTGTGTCTTAATGTACTACATGTGGCGCTAAGGGCTTTATTTAAAAATATAATATAAATGATCGCTTTCCTAATATGCTTCCCCAAGATCCTAGAACTTTTAAGCTTCAAATAGCTTTCCGTTAAAATATCCTAAATAGAATAATAATGAGGTTAGGTTTCTGAAACAGATATGTTGCACTAAACACAAATTAGTTCTGTTGTTGCCGCATCTACGACATATTTATATAACGGTTGCAACCGGAGCAATTAATCAACATAGATACTAACCGTTTTGTTATTGTTTTATAAGTGTTTTATATAAAACAATTAATTTGAATATGCGTCATATGGGCGACTATTTACTCCTGGGCTTATGCTCCACCTGAAGGGACGCGGACGTATGTAAACGAAAGCAAAAACCTATTGAGAGATACCAGAGCCGGAGTCAGGTAAATTTCTTTTACCCTTGACCACTATGTATATGTAAAATAGACAAAAACACAGGATATTAAGATGCAGTAAATTACGTACATACACGGTGTCCCATATAAGAATGCACAGTGTGCATTGCACACTACAGGGATCTCATAAACCAGAAGAGTTCCAAAGATAATTAAATTAGAGAAAAGCTGCGCCTTGCTGAATCCGGCAATATGATTTTTTAAAATTTTTAAAATTCCGATGATATTTGGGAAACACCGAATTTTCCCGATTTCAATCTTATTTTCTTCTCATTTTATTTGTAAAGATATGCGACAATGCAAATTTCACATTCCCATTGCTACTTTTCCTGCTCTACAAGTTGATGTTATTAGATTTTCAATCTGACGTTTTGTTTTTTTCTTAGCAACCATCAAGATTTGTTTCTTAGCAACCATCAAGATTTGTTTCTTAGCAACCATTCAAAATAGACCTATCAACCCTTATATCATTAAATTCGTCTCAATCAGCTCTATCGATATTCATCAAAATATACAGGGCTTTCTATTTAAAATTTGAAGTACCACGTGATATCTTTTTTTATCTATCCGTTACTTTACGGACACAGTGTATATTATGTACCTACTGTAAACAACTCACACCGAAAACTGCGATTTTTTATTTGTACGTTAAAAGGTAAAGAAAATGCACGCATTTTTATATGTAGTTATTAGCGATTTCAAAAATATATGCGAAATTTGTGGACTTTTAATTACGAAAAACAAACATTGATATTACATCAAAAACTTATTGGCATTTAGAACAAAAATAAGCATTACCATTGGAACATAGGAAATTTTTATTTCATTTTGTGAGTACGTTATCATTATTAGTACTGCCAATATTGCAACACGAAAATTGACACATGTCAAGCATTAAAAAAAAGTTTAATGATGTTAGTGCAAAAGCCCAATAAGAAAGTTTGTGAAATATTATTTTGAAAGTGGCGGCACGCTGTATGTCATAACAGATTCCTTCATTTTGTATCTTATCAGTATCAGTAAGGCCAAGACTTCAACTCGAAATTTGACAAATGCATAGAGTTAGTGCGAATATTACATAAGCTCTTTTATCTACACGTATATAATATGGTTATTTTTTTCTGAAATACGCCCCTGCTTAACTAAAACATTGCTTATTATTTAAATATTTTATAAAAATTTCTTAAAGATCAAAAACATTTTATACGAACACCGAAGGTGATAAAAGTAGTTTATAACATAGAAGCCATTGTTTTCGTTGTTTCCACTTCACCTTCCGACGGCCATTTTTAAACGCATTAAAAAAAATCATTTTCCCACAATAAAACGCCACAACTCTCTAGTCTAAGTATTTATATAGTGGTCTAGGATGGATCCTTTACGGTATTTTATTACAGTACAGGCCAAATGAAAGAAAAACACGAAATAGTATTTTTGATTCTTTCTCTTAAAACTCAAAAAGAGATAATATATTTAAGGCGCTTGAAAATTTTGCTATTTAAATACCATACATTATACAAAAAAAATTTCCTCGCAGTAAAATATCAATCCTCAGATGGCATACCGAATTTCTTACCTAAGATTGGCTATTTATGGTCAGGGCTAAATGCAATATGGCTGGTGTACATTCAGACATAACTATATATTATGTTTTTAAAATTGTGACAGAAGACGCGATATTTAGCTTTTTTGTTCTCAGAACGATGATTAAAAAATAAATTATGCTCTGTGGGAACAACAAAAGCATCCTTTCATAGTGTTCGTCAAAGCAAAATCGGAACCGCTGGTATAACAAAACAACTTTTATAAAAGTGTTTTATTCTAGCTCGATAATTGTCATAATTTTGGTAAACTATTTAACTCTTTAGTAAGTAACTATTTTCAATAAAAGTGTTTTGTAATTATTCCAAATAATATTTTATAATAATTTTTTAAATGTTTATGTAATTGTCCGGTAAAAGCTATGGAAACTATAATAAAACGAATTAAAGAACTAAATTGCTGCACAAAAGTGCGCCCTTTTTGGGTTTATAAGCATTGTATAAACGTTGTCTAAATGTTTATCGCAATGCTGTTATTTTATAAAAATAGTTCTGTAAACGTTCTTACGACAGTTTTAAAACAGAAATTGTTAGTTGGGGTGCGTCTCAAAAGTGGCTCACCCCTATAACTTTTTCACTTTTTCAGATAGAAAAACGAGATTTGGTATGTTAGTATAGAACATAAATTAGGATTGATTGGCGTATTCAATTGTTTTTTGGTCACTTCCTGTCACCGGAAATGACAACAACTTTTGATTTTTAAATGACACCTTCGGTATTTTTTTTACTTTATTCGATAGAAAATGTCACTCTGAATAGAATGACATATCATATGTCAACTTTTGACATTTTCGCATATGATTTATTTGGAGTTATAATATGCGGTTCATAACAAAAATTTGACTCGAAATACCAAGTGTGTGGTATCAAATTATTCGTAAAAAAATGCTTTTTCCAAATATGCTAATGAGCCACCTTCGTTCCATTTGAAAAAATTGAGATATGATTGAAAATACGATTTGGGCATCTTTTAACCGGCCAGGACAAGACACTAAAAAGATTAAACGATCAAATCTATTCTTCCGAGGCCCCTTGATTAAAAATTAGTGTTTTTAACGTAGCCATCTAGATTGAAATTTAAAATCCAATTTTTTATTAAGCGAGAATGTCAAAAGTTGACATATTATGATATGTCATTCTATTCAGAATGTTATTTTCTATATTGAATAAAGTAAAAATATACCGAGGGTGCCATTTAAAAATCAAAAGTTGTAGTCATTTTCGGTGAAATAAGAAGTGACCAAAAACAATTGAATACGTCAATCAATCCTAATTTAGGTCATATGCTACCATACCAAGTCTCGTTTTTTTATCTGAAAAAATAAAAAAAAATTTGAGACGCACCCGGTATATAAAATGGAAAGAGAATTTGCCACTTCCTGATACAATGAATACCCAAAAGTTGCCAACAAGAAAGTAAAAGTAAAGTTAGATTAAAATTGTCAAAAAAGTGTCACAACATCCGATATTGTACGAAAAGTTTATGCATTGACAGACATTAAAAATTTTGAAGGCATGAAAAAAAACTATAACCAATCCACCGTTAGGATGTTAACGCCCACATTAAATTTCAATGACTTAAAGTTTAAATTTAATTCTGTAATCCAAAAGTGATGTCACAAAATCACCAGTGAAAAAATCCATTAGAGAGACATTGTCATAAATTCTATTCTATAGATTAAGAATACAAAAAAACAAAAATTTATTTTTTTAAAAATGTATTTCTCATTTTAGGTGGTGACAATGAATCTTAGTTCCAAAAGCTATTTGAGAATGGAGTATAGAGCATACCTAGTTTTTCTTTCTATACTTATGAAAAATACTTTTTTGTAGTTTGGCAATGTGATTCATACACAAGAGGAAATGGCGACTGATTTATTTTTAGTGCATTTTTATTTATTTATATTTGCGTTATAAATGTTGACGTTGGTTTTAAATAGTAAAATTCTACATGTGACTTTCTTTAGGCTAGATTTGTTACCTACATTGTGACATCTACCATTGAGAATTAGTTTTAAGCCTATTTCTAAATCTAGACTCCGGATTAATTCTTATAATAAATAAGAAACATACATTTTATACAGTGTCACAGATAAAGTCTATTACATTATATGGATATTTTTTTTATTTATTGCTTTATGTGAAATTTGATCTTTGATCTACATTTTTTTATATGAATTGGATTGAATAAGAAGATGTCATTGGAAATGACGAGAAAAGTTATCCTGTTACTTTTACTGTCTTCCATTCACGCAGTTATGCGGCTCTGAACTGTTCAAGAACGCGATACTCTCACTCCATTCAATAGAGTCATATGGAGGCACCAGGCTATCGCTCACAGCTCCTTTCAGAACCGTTCTCGAGTAGCCCAGGCCGTAAAGCTCTGGAACTTGAAATTCGCGAATGGAGGACAGCATTTGGAATATCTGTCAAATTTGACATTTAGAAATCAATTAATTGCTGAAAAAGTAAATTTTCTGATCGGATTTTGAAAAAGTTTATTTTAAAAACTTGTTTGTTCTGTACTTTTATATAAGTTTACCAATTTTCAGCCATCTAAATGAAATAAATTGTTTTTGACATATTTAACCATTAGTACCTATTTTATCTAAATTTATCTATTAACAAATTAATTTATCTATTAATTCTCATGGTAGAAGCAAAAATAACTAATGGTAGTCCGTTTGTCAGTCAAATATTTATCTGGTGCTCATGAATTTAGTTGAATATTTTGAATAAATTGATATTTTTTCATAAAAACTTGGTTGTAAAATTTTGTTGTAAATACATTTATTTACGGGATGCACACTATGATTAACTCTCCTATTAGAGATGACCCATCATTCCTATACAATTTTTTTCTATACGGTTTTCTTTAAAAATAAGGCCTGCCATAGTAATAAATGATAAACAATTTTTGTAGTAGTCTTGTGTGTAGTCTTCAAATGATGCTGTTTTGGAATTTATGGATTTATACGAAAATGCGCCCTTCATATGGATGGCCAAACATACAGAACATAGAAATCGTATTGCAGTGTACAGTAAAAGAACTTAAAAAGAAAAAAGAATCACTAGCAACGACAATTTCGGGACGACCGGTATCCATAGATGCGACTATACCGTTTACATGCCAAGGATTTAAACAATGTTTGTGCTGGCGTACTTATTGAAATGAACACGTCGTGTGAGCGCCATACTGGCCAATGTTGTTTACAAAATGGGGACAGGTGGGGATACTTGCCAAGTACGCAAATATTGGTGTACTTGCCAAGTAGACGAGTCGTGAGAGTCCGCCTTTCATGAAGGGGTTGGTTGAACTCTAATATTTTATCTAGACGGCTGAAAATTTGCATACTTCTGTAAAATTAAAAATTAAACACCTTTTTCAAATAATGTTTATCAAAATTCTGCTAATAATTCGATTATCAGCTATTTATTATTTTATTTAAATGTCGACTTTGACAGGATCGACAGCCATTGGTTAATTTTATTATCATTTTTTTGGTCTATTTCAAATCAAAAACAAATGCCAAAGTCAGATTTGAACTAAATCAAATAAAAAAAAGATCCTATATGATGCGGACTATATCTATGATACTGATATGTAGGGTTATATTAAAACTTTAATTAATTTTATCTAAATTTGTAGCAGTTTACAGAGTTGTACTTAGTGTTGTCAGGTTATTTTATGATTGTTATTTTACTTTGGTGTATACCGTATGGTTGAACAAAAGGCGTCAAGTTACTAAGAAATGCCGGTATACACATACAATGTATATTACGGTAACTTGCCGCTGTTTTTTTCGATCAAACAGTGGTTGAAATGGATGTCTATCCAATATATTCATTAGGTACATTATTTCTGATATTTTTAGTTGAAACTGTTTAAATTTGTAATATCAAAAAGCTTGAGAGGGTAGAGATGTGTAGAGAAAATAATAGCGATGAAAATATAGTACTGATGATAATAAGAATATGCGAAACTGCTGTTTTGTGTAATGTAATTCCATGTTTTATATTTTGTTGCGTATCTAGGTATTACATTTCAGTTTGATAGAGCTTATTAGTCTATTCCACAGGGTTATTCACGTTATTTGATTCGGGTGATTCTAGTTAAATGATTAGATATTTAGAAATTTTGAGAATTGGAAAAAAATTGAAGGTCTAGTAGAGAGTTACAATTGAAATTATTTTCACAAGGTACAAAGCGTCTTAAATTAATACAAAATATTTAAGTTGTATTTTCTAATGGAACCCCCTGTATATTATTACATTTTTAGTTTCTACTATTGAAATAAGGGCAAATTTAACACGTTGACTGCCAAGCGCGAGTTATCTACCGTAACGCTGTTTTTTTCCTAGAGAGCGTTATTGACGCCGATTTTTCTTAAAGTTTTTGGGAGCATCAGCCAAAATATACAGGGTGGCGCCTCTCATACGCCGCGGAGGCTCCAAGGACAACGAGAGTTTGTATTGAAATGAAATTTTGTGAGAATATGTAGGTTAATTCAGAGCACTTTTTAAAAATATAGATAGTTCTACAGGGTGTCCCCAAAAAAGTTACCTACATATCAAAGTTGTGTTTTTTATAATGAAACGCCCTGTATATTAATTGATTTTCGGATTCTGGGAGAAAAATAATGGTGAGTTTTATAAGAGAAGTAGGTATATGACTAAAATGTCAGGGTTTTGCCATATTTAACATTTTCTAGAAATGAAGAACAATTTTTAAATTACAATAAAATCTACCTTGATTGGAATTTACCCGGTATAGCCTAATATGTAGTTAAATTAACTATTGTACTTTAAATCAAATTAAAACTTGATAAAAAGTTACACAGGGTGAGACAAAATTAATATTGAACATTGGTCACCTTTAAAAGCATGTTACTCTTTTATTTTAAATGGAACACCCAGTAAATTATCCCGATATTCAATGCAGAATTAATGTTTCTTCAAAATACTATTAAGGTTACCTACCCCTCAAACAAAGATTTTCCTAGATATTTTCATTTACATGATTTGATCTGAGTAGATCTTTATTATTTGATAAAATCTAGGTGGCTGTGATATGGTCTGACGTTACTTCAACATAGCTGTCCTAACCTAACCAACTAATAGAATACTTAAGTGCTCCTGATTTAATCTAGTCTAGTAGTTTTTTATGGGGATATGTTAAAGACAGTGTTTACAAAACTCGACCAACTAGTGTTGACAACATGATAGAAATTATTGTCATTTTGAGCATTTGATTTCATCTAGCTTATTTTTGTCACATAATTATAGGTTTATACATATCTAGTTTTAATTCTGTAATAATTAGAATATGTGTTAAATCTATAATCTAATATTTTTTTATTACCGTTGAGTATTTTACTTTTCAATCTTTAATTTTTGTTAAATTAACAAAAGGTGTATCACACAGCCACTCCTAGATTTTTTTCAAATAATAAAGATCTACTGATGCAAAATCATAAAAATTAAAATATCTGGGAAAATCTTTGTCTGAGGGGTAGGCCTAACCTAACCTTAATAATAATTTAAAGATATTTAAATTCCCCATTGAACACCGGAAAATATACTGGGTGTTCCATTTAAAATAAAGGTGTAACTTGCTTTTAAAAGTGACTAATGTTCCATGTTAATTTTGTCTCACCCTGTATAACATTTCGGGTCAAATTTGAATTTGGTTTAACATACAATGGTTACTGTAATTAAATGTAAGGCTATACACGATCAACTAAAATTTAGGTAGCTGTTATCGAAATTTATAATTTACTCTTCATTTTCACAAAATGAGAAATATATCAAAATCCTTAGATTTTAGGTACCTATATGCTTCTTTAATAAAACTCACCTTTATTTTTTTTCCTAGAATCCGAAAATCAATTAATATATAGAGTGTTCCATTAGAAAAAACACCACTTTGATGTGTAATTTTTTTTGGGGACACCCTGGGACACCTTGGGCACATCTTTCAGGTAACCTACATAATGCTGCCAAAATGTTATTTTGATATAAACTATATACCGTTCTCCTTGGAGCTTCCGCGGCGTATGAGAGGCGCCATCCTGTACAAGTTTTTCCATTGTAATTAAATAACTTATTTCCGTTGAAGGTTAGTAATTATTTAGTACTAATTTTTAGACACCCATATAAGATAGTACCGTATGATCGAAAAAAACGACGTCAACGATGGCTATGAAATGAAGATCGCTGTTCATAAATGTGAATTTATATAGAAAATGTCATTGATCGTCATTTCCCAGCCAACTGGACGACGTTTTTTTTTTTCGAACAGAAGGTATCTCCATTCCAGGAAAATCATACTTTCATAAAGTTCAGTATAAAATTTGCATAAAGTAAACCCTTTTCAAATTTATCTTCATTTTAATAGTAAAAACTACAAATTTAATAATATATGGAGTGTTTCATTAAAAAAATACGAATGTTAATATTTTTTTATATATTTAGAATACTGTACATTATTGTTCAACGACCTTAATACGTTAATTTTAAAAAATCTCAAAAATTTAGCTACAATAGTCCGCGTCAAATATAGTGAATAACTCGGTTTATTTAAAGGAAAAACAATAATTTTTACCAGTATGATGATTAGAAGAAATATTAATGCACTTTGGTATATATGATTTCTATGACTCATTTCTCCCTTTCATTATTAAATTGAATATCTAAATTATATATATATATATATATTTATTCCATTTTTTGGCATTGTGTATTTAAAATATCACTGCTTGTTTAAACGCATTTCTGCGATTTTTATCTCTGTTTTCTGTTATTTTCTGTTATAAATGTGCTTTACCACTAGCTCACAAATATGTATGACTAAATATCGTAATAAAATACACCATGCACCAACCCAATTTTAGATAAAATTAATATAATTTTATGAAAATTATAACTAATTTGAATTTAATTAGTCCACAGTTTTATAAAAATATGCATTTCATTTCTTAAAAATGAAAACTATTTGTTATTTTACATATTATGTGGTTATATCTAATTGGTTTAGGTGCATGCTACAGTCCTAAATGAGAGTCGAGTTGATTTTTATTGATGTGATTAGAACAGATACTTTAACATTCAGTTCAATTTTTAGTGGTATTTTGATTGTGATTATAATGAGGCATTTCAACTTTTGACTTGTACAGTGTTGTTCTAAAAGAAAAGAAGGCGTCTTGAATGTATATATTGTAAAATTTATTTAGTTTGATATTTTGTAGATGATATGTAGGAATTATATTTGTTGAAAATAAAAATGAAATAAATAAATCTTGTTTAGTTGATCTGTGATTTAATTAAAATTTACTTACCTTTCAACCAAACTTGGTTACCTATTTAACAACTTTATTAGTAATGGGAAAAACCGATTAATTTCAATAATCGAGTAAACGAGTTTCAAGCGATTTCAATCGAGCGAAATATCGCTCGTATTTAAAAATACGGTTTTTCGCCCGTCGCTTGTTGTAACGCCAAGCAGTAAATTGCGTGCGCAGAGCACATATTATTTCGGTGATGAATGGCAAGTAGCAAGCGACAAGCGATTCGCTTGATTGATTTAAATGATTTAGTTTATTTCAAGGCATTGTCGATGTAGGTTGTAAAATTTTGTTACTCAGATACGCAACGGATAACGGCCTATAAATTTGCTACCTGCAATGTATGTAGAAAATTCGCTCGGCTTTTTATCGAGTATGTCACATTAAAATCAGATCTCAATTTATTTCATTCTAGGATCGCTTGCGTTCGTCGCTCGTAACTCGTCACTTGCATCGCTCGTTCATAATCAAGCGATGTCGGTTATTTCAATAATCGAGCACTCGAGCGAATTTTCGCTCGAGTTATCCCATCACTAATTTTTTTTTTTGTAATTTTGGAATAAGTATAGCATTATCCAGCAAGACTAAATATTATTTCGGTAGAATATCAAAAACTATATAGAAAATATTTTTAAAATATACAGGATGGTTTAATGATAAAGGACTCATGGATGTTAATAGAATATAAGAAAATCATATTATAATATAGGTATAGTGAAATAAAAAATCCAGGCCCGTATTTGAATTCAAATATCTGATGCTGGTTTTTCGAATCCGAATTTAAATCGTTGTATTGGAAAAGTAACGACCTTGCCGTTTTATAGTGGACAAAAAGCGACAATTGCAATGTCACTTTTCCAAAATTTAAGAAAACCTCCCAAAAACAAATAAATTAAAGGTTTTTGTTTGCCTCAAAATTGTAGATTAATTGAAATATGAATATAGTTCTACACAGTGCACAGTGGTTCCCCTTAATGAGCTGCGCGGTCATAACTGTTAGATATCTAGATATAACTAGACTACACTTTTTTTAATAGAAATTGATAACAAATGCTAAATAAATGTATATAAAAACTTAATGTAAAATGTATTAAAAAAATTGGGCCCAGTTCGTGTGATTTGCATTTTAAGTTCTAACTATTCGGAAAGGTATACAGATGGCACATATGTACATGTTTTTTCATATTGAAGAGGTCAAATTTATTTTAAATGTTGAAAAAATAAAAGAGACAGTTGTTTCATTTTATAAATACAATTTTATTGTCAATTAATATACAATGTATCCACGAAATAAGTTGACACGAAGAGGAAAAAATAAGTTACTTTTATTTTAAGACAAAAAGTCAAATAACCGCCCGCTATATCCACCCGGTATAAGATCGGGCGGCAATTTTCGACGGCCAGTGGCAATTAATTTATATGCAATATACTTTAAGCAACAAGTATTATCATGCCGTTTAAGAGGATTTGAAAGGGAAAGTAGTTAAAAGTCTTAAAGAGTGACAAGCAAAAATGTTAAAATACTATTTTTGTTGCTTTCAAATAAATTGCCATAAACTAATATTACTTAGGTTTAATTAAGTGCAAAAAAGAAAAAACAGTTCTTTTTATCTTCTTTTCGAACGTCCATTACAGAAAAAGCAACAGCTTTTATCAATTTTACTAAAATAAGTAATTAATTGGCGTTATCTGAAAACTGTTTATGTTAGCTTGAACCTCAGTAGCGAAAATGTCACATTTCTAATATAAAAAGCGCTACACTAGGCTTTTACTTGATTTTGTTATTTATTATGTATCGTTTACAGGGGAATATAAGAGAAGTATTAGCAACAGTTTCATGCAAACATTTTGAAATTAATATTTCTAAGTAATGACCTATCTGGGAACCACTGTGCAGTGGCGGCGCATACGCGGAAAAATGAGTTTCGCCTTTTAATTTATTAAAATTAAAATCCCTAATGTACGTCGTTGATACAGGTATAAAAAAATCAGCTTTCTCAAATCTGCCCTTTATTTGCAAGTCGCACTGATTTCTATACTAGTTTTTTCATATAATATTGACAGTAGAAAAAAAATCAAATGGCACACATCGCCACACGCCTTTGTGTGCAACTTTTCTATTTGTGCGTAATATACTTTTTACAATACTCGTTACGTAATATAGT